TCCCAAAAGGTGGTTTACTATATATATATATATATCTATTATATATATATATATGTATGTGGACCACCAAAAAGACGTGTAGATGTTTGTGCCATCTACTCTGAGACCACTGTAATCACAAAGGTGTTGTCGGACTTCTGAAATCCCCATCCATTTTTAGAGTCACCACATTCTATTCAACCCTCCCACCCTTCCATGCCATGCGATTCCGCATTCCATGCGCTCCGCCCAGCGGCTTCGAGTAGGTGCTGAAACTCGGTGAAGGTCCCGAGGCCCTCGGTGAAGGTCCAGCTGTCGACAGCTCCGTCGTGAACCGCTGTCGACGCACGACGTAAGAACCGACGGGATCCTCGCCGTGGCGGGATCCGAAGGCGAGAACGAGATTGGGGGGATAAGACTGGAGGTTTGCCACCAGTGACATGGACCAGAAGACACATCTCCTTCAAAACGAAGTAATACCCTGTGGCTTTGGAGATGCGTCTTCTGGTCCATGTCCACCTCGTTCAAGTGCTCCTCTTCTTCCGACCCCCCGCGTTTCAAAGCGACCCCACGTTTCCAAGCTGTCGTGGGAGACCAAGTTGCAAACAAAGTGATGAAAGATACTTCCCCATCCTTTCTCATCACCGGAAAAGAAATCAAAAAAAACATGAAACCCCGCGGCTGGCTGAGCTCATGACTTCGCCGGCGTCTGCGCTTGAGCTCCACCCGGCATGAATTCACCGGCCTGGATGGAAACGAAACGGCCAAAGGCAAAAACTGAAATAGTGGGAGAAGGGGCTGGCTACAGCGATACAGCATTGAAAGGTCTTGTGGGAATGAAGACGCTGTGCATGTGTTTCATGCAGAATAGTCCTGTAATGCGCACAGCAACCGTCAGGGGCCATTGATGAACACCATGGAATCGCTTCTCACCGTCGCTCGCATGGGACCCAACACCCTCACCGGGATGAGCCTGCGGATTCAGCGTGAACGACGGAGCCTTCGGGTTAAAGGAGAAAGAGCCGCTCTGCCTAGGTGAGCTTCCAGTTGGCAGCCGAATGCAGAAAGGTATCTGCTGTTGAAAGGCAAGTGCTTAACTTTCAACCTGTGTAGAGACCAGAAATTCGATGGGAATTCCAGGACTCTGTTTGGACCCTGTTTCAAGTGGTCTGACCTCTCAGCGGAGTTCTTCCTACCAAACTGAACCTGTCAGTGTTTCCAGGTCGCTTCAATGTAATGTGGACCTCCCCAAGAAGTCATGATTTCAGACCAGCGGCCCTCTTGATTGATCTCCTGCTTTCACCATGGCACCTCAGTGACAGCTAGTCCACTCGCAGCAACTCTCAAGCCCTTGAATCAGCTCGATTGCCAACAGCACCATCAATGGCAGCTAAGCCTTTCGACTCTCGACGATTTCTCCCGGCTGAAAACCATTCGACAACGACCCAGACTAGCTGAGAACGGGGCCTCCACCACCGCTGCCCTTCTGGTTCTGGCACAAAGGTGTCGGTGCAATTGGGTCAGTCGAAGTGACAAGATCCACCGTGTCGCGGCTTCCTTTTCCATTCAGAGTCATTGGAAAATGCCAATCTTGGAATCCTTACAGCCCTTCTCTTTGCAAGACGAAATAGCAGCTAAGCCCATTGCTGGGAGAAAATTCAAAGACTAAATGCTGGTGGCCCCTTCATTGTGGGTAACCTCAAAACTTCTTCCACATACCCTCATCCCTGTCATCCCTCATCCCTTGGCCTGAGAGTTTTGGCCCTCCCACTGCTGCTCAGGATTTTTGCCTCGGCGAGGCAACGCACGGACCCGAGACACCCCGTCTCCGACGCACTCAGCTTTTCGCGGAACCGGGGAGACCCGGGTGAAACAGCCCAAACATGCGCAGGGCGGCATGACCGAAACATTCGGCAAAAAGGGGGGCCCAAAAAATCACGATCGACTGGGCTGATGTCCACCAAAACCATCCCTTCGGCGGCAAGCATTGGCTTTAGGCTCGCTGGATCTGTCGCCGCGCCGCGCCAATTCCGCGCTCACCTCGTTTCATGGGTCCACGGCCTCGCTTTTTGGCATCCTGTTGAGCGATGATTTCCAATGACCTCATTGACCACCGAGGAACTGCTCGTCAACCGTCCAAGCTTTGGGTGCAAAAGCACAGCCAATATGAAGCACGTGGCGTCCGGTCAACGCACGGCTGAAGACGTTTGCTCCGCTCGTGGGCTGAGGGCGAGGACTGCTGGAACTCGCTCTTTAAGTCAGCACTGTTCCCCTTGGAAAGTCCAGCTTCTCCAGCTGAACCGATTGGAAAATGGATGGATCCGAAAGCACACCAAGGGGTCACAGGGTCACAGGGTCACCGTGGATTCACACTTCTCCACTGGTCATCAATCACCGATGAGAGGCTATCTATCTATCTATCTGGGACTCTTGTTTAAGAGGCTGTGGCGAAACACCTTTCCAGTCTGATGTCAAGAAGAGTGGACTCGTAGTTGGTGGAGATCTGCTATCACACCAAGTTCGAAGCTTGCAGTCGTTGGGCATTGCGGCTGGCTGCATCCTTCATGCTCATCCTGGAGTTGCTTCTCTTGGTCGACAGATTGCAGACTGTTGATACAACCCCACAGTTGTTGTGTTTCATTCTATTCAGTGAGACATCCAACACTTACATGTATATATATATATATATATTGATCAAGCACCGCCTATACTGGATCTGCTCGAAATCCGCATCGGCCTACTTCGGGCGGTACTTTCATCGTGCTTTGCCGAGGTCGGCTCCAGGTTCAGCGCCTTCGCACATCCGATCTGTATGATGCTCATTTAGGCCGATTGAACTCCACATGATCGTCCAATTCAAGAACTACTTGACTCGTCGATGTGATCCGACGGTCTGAAACTCCAGACTGCCAAGCATAGCCAAGCAGCATTGATGCGCTTCATTTCTGAAATCATTCCCTTTCTTCCACTTCCTCAGATGCACCGTCCGGAGGACCAACACTAGATCAGTCTTCCAAGTTGAGGCCCTGGATGCTAAGATCAGCACTGTCCTGCATGGCAGCCATGTCCTGTCAAAAAGAAACACATGATGAATTGTGTTGCTTCATTCCCAAACCAAACAAAGCTTCAATCTCCGAACGTCCGACGTCCGGAACGTCTCATCACGTCGCCTGTCGCTCGGGCACCTGGGGGAGCGGCTTGGCCAACGCCTGAGACGATCGAGGCCGGGAGAGCTGGAGTCCGCCGGCCATGACTGGGATCTACAGACGATCGACATGAGTCAAGAGTCACGAAAAAAGGAATTGACATGTCATTTGCTATTGAAAACGAGTCAAAACGAACGTGCCAAATCGAAGAATGTTATTGTCGATATATAAATGTCGATAAAGAAAAACATCCATTCAGCTTCTTGCAACCATGGACTTGAAAAGAGGTCTATCCATTCACCGCAAGAGTCTTCTTTCTCTTCGTCCAACACTGTGTGTGTGATGCACGGCAGCCTTCGTGTTGTTGCCACCCAGTGGTTGGGCGGCGCTGAAACGAGCCTGGAGCGCAACATGTATTCAAACGCAGCGCTCAGCCTCCCGCGTATTGAAATTACCCCACCGCATCCGATCGATTTCACCCACGACACGGCAGTGTTCGCCGCTGCTTCTGTCCTGGCCTCTTCATCACCATCCCCGTCACCGTCGACACGGTCTTCCACCTGGGAAAAAGGCCCAAGCATAGCGCCGGAATGGAAGAATTGTTCTTTCATCCAATAGACCGATGATGATCATGACGATGACGATGACGATGACCATGATGATGATGATGATGATGATGATGACGATGATTACTTACTATTAATATTATTGTTATTATGTTGATGATGATGACAACCCTTACTCCAAAGTTGAAACTGAACTTTGTTGGGGATGAACGACCACCCGTGCCTCTGTGTGCATGTTGCCGGATTCAATCTCACGAGCAATCTGTTCAGCCTGAGGGACAGGTACTTGATTTTCCAAACGTGAAAGTCTCAAATCAATGACCCCATTTGAAGACAGTCTGTTGTACCAGAATATCAGGGTACAACTTCACCGCATGCCCTGAAATGCTGCACGCAGTGAGACTTTGTCGATTGACTTGGCTAGCGGCTAGGATGACTTTTCATTGAATGGCAAACCCCTGCCAAGCCTTGTCCCGCTTGTCTTGCGGAACCTGGCTCTTGTCCAGCTTTGTCGTGTAGAAGTCCTGGCAAATCACCACCGCAGAATCGCGACGGAAGTGCAAGGGTTGGTGACCTGGCCCTTCAGGTTACAAAGCACTGCAACATTCCACTGGCCCTTCTGGTGCTTTCCTATCTCCAGAACCGGAGACACCAACCAAAACCGCCCGATCGCGCCTCATGCCAGGTCGTGGACACGCCGTACCTCAAAAAGCCCGATTTGAACCGCCATGTTTCTGCTGAAGCCGAATGAAGCAGCCGGGGGCCAAGGCATCTTCTCATTGGTTGAGAACTGATCCCATTTGCCATCATGGCCGCCCTCCTGAAAGCCAACTGCATTGTCCGCATTGGGGCAACTGCAAGGTCTGAGAAGTAATCTCTTTCTGTGAGTCTGCACCTGAGAAGAGCGTCTGCTCTATTGCGCATCGTAGAGTGTCCGTTCTACAACTGGAATCGGTCAACCCATGAAACTCTCCCAAATCAAGGACCCCAGCAACCTGAAATCATATAGTTCTATAATCCTTTTTTCACCACGGCAGTATGGGACACCCTGGACCCTTTTTCCGCGCCCTCGACCCGAACGCTGCTCCTCCAAGCCGCCCACTTGGGGAGCGTACCCATCCTCATGCGATTGATCACAAGACTGAAAAACGACATCAGCTGGAATGGCTCTAGACTTTGTGGTATGTCTACTGTATCTCAACAAAAGCACATGATACAAATGTTCTGATCCATCTGGGGCGATGGCTGCTTGCCACGGCACCAGGTCACGATGGGATTCGCCCTCCTTCCTGGAAATCATCGGCTGTAGCTGGTGCTTTGCAGCGAGTGTTGCGATTTGTCTTGTCTCTGTCTTTGTGCACTGTCCAATCAGAAAGGCCTCTTGCACCGGACTTTTGAGCGACGATCTTCATCGCAGAACTACTGATGAGCTAAGATGCGTCCATTGTGTGGGTCTACAAAGTTGTGCTCTGCTCCCGTGCATCCACAGTTAAAATATTCCAGCCGGGAAAGGCATCGAAAACAAAAGCGTGCTCGACAGGTGCGACAAATCATCTTGTGACACGTCTCCGACTCTTTCTGCATTCCTTCTCCACAGCCAGGGCATTGCTTGAGACCAAGACGAATCAAGGTGCTGCTCGGCAAAATGGATTTCTGGGACTGCAAAGCCTGCAGCTTCCTTTGGGAGATCCTGTCTTGTGCTCTGGCCAGTGCTTCCTTTCCAAGCAAAGCTGACATTGAAGTGTGAGGCAGGCATTTGGCACACAACGGGCACGAGATCTCATCCGCGGCCAAGCCTTGTGACTCCTGCTCTTGTGCCCAAAGTGAAGCACACGAGACACACACCTCGCAACAGGGCACGAGTGCCTTCACCATCATCGGCTCCAAGCAAACAGGGCAAGGAGACCTCTCAGAGCACCTCTCTGACTTCTCCTTGCCGCGTCCCCAACGCCGAGGTCCCGTAGGTCCCGTCGCCATCTCCGTCGCCGCTTTCCCCGGTTGATCGCTGAGCGACAGAGCGAGTGCAAGCTGAAGCTCTTGATCCTCCGAGTCCAACAACTCCAAGGCCACTGGCAGGGCATGCTGAGCTTCAGAGCCTTGGAGCTCAGAATCGCATGAGGAACTCAGAATCGCATGAGGACTGAAAGGATGGTTTTTGGGACGATGTCCAATCATGCTATTGTCTGCCAGCGTGGCCTGTGCAAACAAAACCTTGACATCCCACTCTTTCCCCACAGCAAAATGAAAGGAAACCAACTGCCGGCAGGATGGAGGGACAATATCTTCCACCTTGTACCGGCGCCAATGACTTCGCACCCCAAGCGTAAAGTTGTCATCATTCTTGTCTTCGCACCACTCACCTAATTGAGCACCTCTAGCTGTGTGTGTGACGACAAAATTGCCTTCAATGGTTCCATCGAAAAGGAAGGTCTCCGTAGCATCTGGGTTCTCCAGAATCAAGAACGCAGCTCCGTCCATCTGTAGAATCAGCAGCTCCGTCGATGCAATGACAGTGCCATCGTGCGCTCTCACTGGCACGCTCCGCACGCTCCGCAGGCAGCTCAACCCCAACTCGTGCCCCTCACGTGCCAGGCCCCACAAACAACCCCACAAGCCGTCGGCCTTGGAAGGCGCCTCCAACTTCATCGATATGGGCTCAGAAGACTGCAGCCGCAAACGCCTTTGGGGGGCTTCATCAAAACAAAGGAAGCCTTTTGGGCGCAGACTTTTATCGGAAATTGGTGGAGAATACAGCAGCTTGGAAGTCTTGTTGAGTCTCAAAGTAAAAAGAAACTCACAAAGGTTTGTTGTTGGGGTTCCCTCCATTTCTCAGTGTTCCCTCATTGCAGGGAAGAGGAGTTCAACTTTCAACTAGAAAGCAATACAAAGAAGCATGCTTGAAGTGACTTCAAAGACAAAATAATCTAGCACGCCAAGGCACACTGCGCCGGGCCAGGCTCGAAAACTGACTGGGAAAATAGAGGCCTCTTCACCAGCGACCAAAGAAATATGACATCTGAGACTAGCAGTTGCACCACCAAAGCAAATTGCTCGCGCTTGGCCAGTGCTTTGCAGGACAACAATGCCAAGGTCATTCAAGACCTGGGGTGGAGAAAAAGCATGGTAACGCAACCCTATGAATGGAAATGGCTCCTTTTTCCTGACACTAAAACCTTCAAACTGGCTCTGGCGTAGAAAAACTGATACCTGTCTGGCAAAGGAGCATGACCCATCACAGGCTGAAGCAATCGTGCAGCCTTTGGAAGCGGTTGGATACACGAAATCCACAGCTGGCATGAGGCCTGTGCCACAACCGAAACAGCACAGCCACGAGTGCCCAAGCCATCTAATCCACTTGCAAAGTCACCCTCAACCGTTCGGGTGTGCTGCAGGGAACCGCCAGTTGAAGCTGCGTGACAAATGTAAGCATGGGAGAAGCTCGGCAAGAAATCTTCGAAGTTCACCCAGAAGGAACCATCTGCATATGTCGATGCCTCAGCAGGCGTTCCTTTCAACATCGCCAACGCCGTCTCGTAGGCACCCGAGATACTTGCAACACGCGGATTCCTCAAACGAATGCGCCTTCCGGCGAGCTCCAACATGGCGAAGACTGAGGACACTGAAGCGGGAAGGCACCTCGCTTTGCATGCTATTAAAGCCCCATCTGAGGCTTGAAGCAAACTCAAAAGCTCATCTGCGTTCATTGACTTCCCTCTGCCGCAGCTTGTTGGCCCCAAGCGAACTTCTTCCACCACAGCCCCTGTGAGCTCTTCCAAGAAGACCTCCAGCGAACTACCTGGAAATGCGAATTGATAGGAGCTATGTGCCTTGGCGTAGGCCTTCTCTAACAAGGGGATCCAAAGCTGGTTTCCTGCACATCGCCCAAAGGCAAGAGACTCATGTGGATTCTTGGGAGTCTCTGACTCGCGTGTCATGGGAAAACGTTCGTCGATGAGAAACGAGCGCCAGAGACCAGCGATACAAAGCCTCACCTCATGGCAGCCACAGGTCTCACCTGAGGTTGGCGTTAGCGTGTTGGCGTTTGGCAAAAGCTTCTGCAAAACCTTTGGGCGCTCAGCCAAGACCGCTAATGCTTCGATAAACTCTACATCTCCCAGTGACTCGGAGTGGGACCCATGTCGGGCATCTTCTGGCCGGAATCCATCACGACCCACCACCACCAGCGAGGCCTTGGCACCGACGAGTCCGCCCACCCGCAAGCGTGTCCAGGCGATGGCCTGTGCCTCGGGCGAGGAGGCCAAGTCACCGAAGCTCAAGAAGCGGCAACTGCGCATGCCACAGCGGAAGTATGGCCGCTTGGCCACCATCCCGTTCAGCTGCACCCGGCCTTGCCGACCACGTCGACCGCAAAAACACCGCGGCGCGGTGACCAGCTCCTCCTCCTCGTCCTCTTCGGGTCGAAGATCGGTCAGGAGTTCCATGAGTGCTTCCTGGCCTTTTCGGACGGGTGGACCCTCTAGACCGTCGATGCTCTTGGCCTGCGCAGGGAACTCGTGGTCGACGAAGCCCTCGGGAGTCCCTTGGCCCAGCAAGGCCATTTGCAGGCCGAAGCGGTGCTGTTCCAGCACTGCTGCGTTCTCCACCTGAGTGTGGCGACTGAAACATGGTGCGACCGGAAGCAACTCCAAAGGCAAAAATAGGATTGCACATGGTGGAATGGTGGAACAAACGATTGGGACCAACAAAGAAAAGCTTTGATAATTATTTGAATTGCTTGCTGGGATCGCCCCAATTGCTGGAAGCCAGCAGTATAATCAAACTGGACTGGTCTCTGAACCGAGTCTCATCTTCGCCACAGATCACAACCCAGCCAGCGTCTGTGGGCTTTGAAGCCAAGACCGTGCCCGCGACGGTGGCGCCAGCGCTCCCCTTTGATCTTCGGAACCTGGCCACTCACGAAAGAGAAGGGGTGGGCAAAGGTAGCTACGAAGGTGAGGCCACAGTACTGGAGGGTTGAAGGCAAAATAAAGGATTGGATTGAGATGAGGATGGACAAGGATTGGTGAGGATGGGTGAGGACGAGGATGAATAGATCAGCCCCAGACACATCGGACCAGGGGAGTTGTTTCACAGCCATCACGCACGAACTGAAGGTAGTACAAGTGGGTGACGGGCCGTAGTGGCACTGTGCCCCAAAATGGAACATCGAAGCCACCCAATTTAATGTACTAAAGCAAGGAGAACTCGGGTAGCTGAAGCCACTTTTTGCTAGCAAGAGCTTGAATGAAAGCATGATCACATCGTTCTTACTCTTCATGTTTAATACCACCTACAAAACCTATGCAACTCCTATTGGTATGCCATAAAATCTAATCCCAAAAAAGATGATACGAGTGGGTCAACTTCACGCATGTAGTGGAAATCATTTCATCTACGTTCCGCGGGAGTTCTTCACCTGGAACTTCCAGAGGCCATGCTGCATGGCTGGCGGCTTGTTTTGGACGCAGAGTTCCTTCTGTTGAGGTGGGTAACCATGAGAACACAGACTTTAAGAAAAATACTTTGAGCAACCTGATAGCGATGGCATCCCCTAAGAGCGATGGCCTCCAACCTACTAGAGATGATGAGAAGACATAGGCTTTCATCTTTAGTCATACGTTGGGGAAGTCTCACCTTTGGTCCGAGGGAAGTTTTGACAAAAGCAAAAGCTGTGGAACGAAAAAGGGTCCCGACAAAAGCATCCGCTATTCAATGTTATATAGATTCAAATAGCTAGCAGAGAGAGTCAGTTAAATATTGGACTGTCAGACTTGAGCCAACATCGGGTCAAACGAGGAAGTGAATGGAGAACTCAAAGTGAGGACACATGACCATCTCCATGGCCAACCATGGAGCGTGCGAAAGGCTCCTGCTGATTTCAGCATCGGTGGCAAAACCTTTGCGGCCTGGCAGAGAGTGCTCTGTTCTGAAAATGTCTATTGAAAATCAAGATCAAAGGTGGACTCAGGGAGCTCTCAGGGAACTCCATTCCAAATCACTAGAGCGGCGAGAGGCTTCCACCCACCTTCTTCGGCCGAGAGCGGCGGTACATTCATGGCTGAGACCTGGAGACGACGACGATCATCGTCCGCTCCGGAGAAAGACTCAATCGACCATTGGAAAGGACTCGCTTGTTTAAAGCCCGTGGCCCACGTGGCCGTGCCTGGTTACTGAATTAAGTAGGCGCCTGCATAATTAAGTATGGGAGTAAGTGTCTGGAATTGGAAGCTCTATCCTGAAACTGCTTGATCCTTACGAAGTGATGCCATGAGGATGCCTGAAGAAAGTCCTTGCCCGCAACAACCAGTGTAGGTACCTCGGGTTCTACCGGCAACATGGCTCTCTTCCTTCACTGTGTTGGCTCTCTTCCTTCACTGGATAGTCTTGCCATTGCTTGTGGCCGCTAGGTCCAGGGCAACCTCACCACTCTTGTTGTTGCTCTCCGATGGAAGCCTCCAACGAGGTTTTTTGCACAACGCACCATGAGCTCATCTTTTCGACTTTTGTCAAATATCATATCGGCAATATGAAACGCCCCAATGCAATCCGCCCACGGCAAATTGCCTTCTGTTGATCTGCTAGCTGCAGGCAGGTGTGCAGAACTGTCCATTGTGAGAAAATGAGATCCCTAGCCTCCGCGCACTCTTCAGAGTAATGGAGTAGTCGCCGTCCAAAGCGCAACTCACGGCACAAAGTGTGCAAAAGTGAGCAAAAGGGATCAGGTGTGGCACATGCCACACATGCTAACACCACTACCACAATCCAACAGAGTCTACTTGGGAAAGTCACTTTTGCCAACAGAACAACCGGTCTCACCATCTCGTGCCTGTGAAAGGTACCCTCGTACTGAACCTCAGTCGGCGGCACCGGACGAGGTCGTTGTCGGAATCTTGAAGACGACTCCCGGCACTGGCGTGGCGTTTTCCTTCGGCTGCTCTTGCAACCTTCGCTTAGATGGAAGATTTTGGGAAAGGGGTATCCCACAACAATATGGGATGACCACTGTGGGCTGATCAGAGATCATTGATTCAATTATCCTTCTCCGGTCTTAGTTGGGGGACACTCAAGCAGCTTGCCTTCGCCAAACTTAGCGTTCTCACACTGGACAATTGTTTCATGTGAGCAGGGAAGCCTTTTCCAGTGATCACCATCCCTGCACGACAGCTGCTCATCCGGTTTTATAGAACCCAGTTTCCCAGCTGAACAAGCCATGCACTGCGCTGAACAAGCCTCTGGGGTCACAGCATTGTTTCTCAATGATGCGGTCACTTTCTGGCCGATGAGACTGGTGATGCAGAAGATCTGGCCGAGCAACTTGGCACGATTCACTTTGGCTCCCGACAGTTGCCAGTCAGTACTCTGTCGAAAAGCAGTTGAATCCATCTTTGACAGCGAGAAAACCAACAACATAAAATGATCAAATAAATAGATTCATGCGGAGGGGGCTGATCTGCTTCTTCATCTAGAAAAACACCATCCCTTCACGCGTAGAATTCGCATGGCGGTGTGTCACCCCCGGCGCACCAAGCGGTCTTTGTTCACATCTGGCCCATCGGGGCGGCCGCCACCAGCCCTCGCCTCACCTGAGGGCCAAGCAGGGCACCAGGGCCCAACCACCATCGAATCGCGTGACTGATGCATTCAATGAACGTCTTTCATCGAGAATTCAGCGCGGTCCATGGTGTCAAATAGCCAAAGACCGATGGCTTCAATTGTCTACTTGGACAAATGGGCCTTTCGAACTATATACTGCTCTAATGATCAAAACTAGAGAAAAACGAAGAAGGACATCCTGGTTACCTTCACCCAATATCGCACTATGCGTACCGGCCTGCTCTCGCCTGGCCTCGCCTTTGCTGGTTCGCCATAGAAAAAGCAGGCCCTGGCACAACCGAAGCAGTTCGGGCTTTATCAAATGTGTACCTCACAACGAGCAAACCCCTAACCAATTTGAACGGTTCAGCTTTAATTGTACTAAATCGAAAATCATGAGCCGAGCATCAAGAGGTTCTTTCAATCTAGTGTCCAAATGACCGATTGCCACAGGGAGAGATAGAAAACAAACATAAATGTTCCTGCATACAGAAACCCTGCGGTCAAACCCAAAACCCTGGACCAAGTCTACTGAAATGAAGCGAACGCTAAATTAACCACGATGAAAGTTGTACTTCCAAACAAAAGCTGCAAGCTTCTCCACCTCAGCTGCTCTGGCACCCGGCAAAAGGGTGCAGGCTGAGCAAGTGGGCGAGAACCTAAAACAAAACAAGGCGTTAAAGCAACATGGAAGAATGGACCAAACAAAATATGCACACTAATTGTCAGTTGTGTACCTGTTTCCTTTCTAAGCTCCTGGCAAAGGGAAAAGAGCGGGGAAACACAGCCAAAAAGATTGGCTTTGATACCCCTGTGAGCTGCAGGCGAAGGGCGACGCCACAAGGATATTTGCTCTCTCAATGAGAATGGATGCTGAAAAACAAAACAAACCGCAAAACCTTGCAGCAATTAAACGTGCGGCGAAATTTCACAACCTGTGTTTTCCTCATAGTGTTGCATTCCCAAAATTGTCCACGATTCGGGTAGCTGAAAATTTGAAAATCAATTTGATGAACATATTTTGTCAATGTAACAAGTTTGGAGCAGAAATTGATACATTCCCCTAGACCCAAAATTGCGGGATCTTTTGAATTGCGGGAAACGGCGGCCTGCACGGTACACTGCTTGATGTTTACAAGAATGGTGCCACGCATGTACATGTCCTTTTCCTGCCTGTCCGCAAAGGCCCACATCAAATGTTCGGGTAAACAAAACATGTTTGCATGCATTAATTGGAGTCTATTCTCACGTGTCCGATCCCTATTCAACCCTTGCCGGGCACACAAAGCTGCCCGGTTGAAAAGTTTGTTCATGAATTGGAATTCGCGTTCCCGAACTTCCATTTGGTTGTGGCTCCCAGGGCCTTGCCGGCGTTGGTTGGGTTGAATCGCGCTCATTATCATGCATCTCAACATCAATGCCAAACCGACGCTCATTGTGGGACATCAGACTTGGCTGTGGCCCTGCATCATCTGTTGAAGCTTTGGGTCATTCACTGTACGCAGCCCTCTCCTTCATGCGATCTGTGTCCCAAGTCTACGTAGGATTGTCAGGCCTTGCAAACCTGGTGGTCTTGCTGGCAAAACATCTGACCTTCGTTCATCTTGTAACTGCTTGATCTTTTCACTGCCTTTTCAAGATCAGTTCATCATGAGAACTTTGGCCTTCTCGAGGTGATGTTGTTCCTCCAGACTTCTTTGCTGTGAAGTTCAAAGCCCATTGACAAACATCTTCGCATTGCACTCCCTTTTCATTTTTTCAAGTCAACTGTCAACGACTGCCAACTAAAGGTGCTTGATCTTGTGCCAAGCCTACCTCCAAGAAGCTCTAGAGCTACCCGCCCAAACATCAATAGGACTAAAAGTGCTACGGAAAACCCGACTAGTCCGAACCTTTGCCGAATGCTGCTCGCTTCAATGCGTTGGAACGAATGATGATGGCACCAACACCGTTGCTCCGGGTGCGGCACTGGCCCGCATCTGTTCGAAAATTGCCCAACGCTCTCCAAGTTACACTGTCTCCAGGCAGGACAGGGCCGAAACCCCAGCGCCACCAAGGCATTGTGGGCCGCCGCAAGGGTGCTTCAGCTCATCAGGGCTCCATACATTGGTGCATCAAAACAATGGGTGGCCATGTAGCCAAGACCCTAGGCGAGGACCTCAGTGAAGGTGACTTTACCACTGGATCTTTCAGATAGGGTTGTAAGGTCTCGAATTGTGCCCAAGTCCGTGGGGGTGCTCATGACAGGCTAGGCAACTATGCATTCCCGTTGAACCACCACACGCCTAGAGTCGTCACAATGCAGGCTTCAAAACAAGATCCCACGCGAGTAGTATGTCTGAAGCAAGTCTGTTGCAAGTAACTCGCACAGGGCAAGAAGCAACCACACACCCAATCCATTGGCCCAGTCTTGCCCCCCCTTCTACACATGTTGCTAGCAGCCTTGGCTGCTGCTCGAATGCGAGCAGCTTTGGCTCAAAGCAACGGATTAGAGTGATGCATGCAGCAGCCATGCAAGAGCAGTGCCAAACTCCGATGGCTGCAGATCAACCCTCACGGCCTAGCACGCCCGCAGAGAGTGAAGATTCCATGGCCTGCGAGCTCATGCTCACCACGCTTGCAGGAAATGAGAAAATTTGCCGAACTGGAAGACAACATAGTGGATCTCGCCACTGTCACTACGCTGATGCATTCGGCTGCGAAGTAGATCTTGTGCATTCAGACACGCAAGAACAACTACGAGACCCAACATGGAATACTCTTCGAATCAAAGCTTTAATCTTGTGGTTCTAAAATGTATGGAAGGCTGTCAATCCAAACGACAATTCCAAGAGAGCGAAGGCCAGGAGCACCCAAAAGCGGCTAGGGTCCCAGCCAATGCCTCAGGAGTCATTCCGGACGGAC